TAGTAGTTAAACTGGCTCTCTTGTTGAAAAAACTCTTTATAAAATTCCATTGCTTTTTGCTACTGGTACCTGCCCGCTCCCATTCTTTACGAAAATAAAAGTTTTTTTGACTTAATTTTATTATTAACTAGGTTTTTCAACCTTTTAAATTCAGTTTCATATTCTAAATTACCTACATTTTTTACCTTTCTTTTATACGCTAAATCGCGCTGTTTCATGATTTCGAGAATTTCCTGGTTCATCCAGGTATTGTTGTCCCTAACTGTTATTGTTTTGATGTACTGTGAATCACTCTTTGTTGACCTAATTATATCAATCAATTCTCGAAATGACCCAATCACGCTACCTTCTATTTTCTGTCTAATTAATACTTTAAATTTTTTATAATCCACTGCTTTTATCTCATATCTAACTTTTGGCTTATATGTTTTAATCCTATCAAAAATCTTAAATTTTAAAATATTGTGATCAGATAATGAGTTTGGCTCTATATCTATGGAACCAATACAACCCACATTGTTAAAATCCAATTACACATGATCAATAATAGTTTTTGTTCTATAAGTTACTCTTGTAGCGTACTGCTCTGATATGGTATTGATTATTTTAAAATTATTGAGTTGAAGTAATTCCCTATAGTTTCTCACTTGATACGAGTCATCCAAGAGATTTATGTTGAAATCGCCAATAATAATATGTTTTTTTGGATAGACAAAATACTTTCAATATCTACAAAAAATTCAGCTATATTGTAGGATGGTGGTCTATATACTACGCTAATTTTTAGATTATTCTCCCCTACTCCAACACAAACCCAATTTATTACCTGTTTTGTATCCGACTGATCTAGAAGACGACACTTTATGTTGTTTTTTACGTATAGCGAAACTCCTCCACCTATCTTACCACTCCTACACGAATGTATGGCATTATAGTTCTCTAATTTATATAAAAACGTATTATTTTCTTCCAACCATGTTTCCGAAAAACCCATTATGTCACATCTGTTCTGAATTGCAAAACCCTGTAAATCATCTATCTTATGTCTTATACTTTGGATGTTGGTATAAACTGCGTTTAGCGATACTCGAGGCCCGGCTCCCTAATTCATCCCTGCTAGCTGTTCTTCACTTTCCACCAAAATGATCTTGGTATTTTTTTTTTTTTTTTTACGGATATGCGCACTCACAAGGAAATGTCCTATCACGCTCGAGAAGCGTGATAGTACCTGTAGAAGAGAGATAAATCGCCCACAGATCTGCGATGTTCGAGACCATCCAAAATACGAGTAAGTGCGGGGTCATTGATCAGCTTGATAGCTCGTTTTTGCACGGTATTCAAAAGCATTAAGGTATGTTTGGGTGCTGCACTCCATATATGTGAGCAGTACTCCATAGTTGGTCGAATCTGGGCTTTGTAGAGTGTCAGCAATTGGCTTGGTGTGTACAGATGTCTTGTACGAAATAGCACCCCCAGCTTTTGGGAGGCCCTTTTAGCAATATCTGCCACGTGACTGTGCCAAGACATGTTGGTCTCTGCAGTAACCCCCAAGATGTTCAACTGACTCTGTAATGTGACAGCACTTCCAGATAGCATGATGTTTGGCTCACCGGTGCTGGTCTTTTTTGAAAACAGAGCTGCGGGGGGATTGCGAAAACACGACTCGAAACGGAGACTCGATACGAAAGTGAATACGCATCGAATGTGCTCGAAACGTCAGTGATGATTAGGTACAAGTTTCGTTTTGTGTTCGTGTAAGTTCGCAGATTTGTGACGTCTTTCGCTCAAATTTACCAAATTTTGGCAAATTTTGACAGTGACTTAATACTAATTTTAATTTTTTATTGTGCTGTGGTTATTTGTGTTAGTAATTATGTTTGCTATAATCGGAGTTATAAGGCGGCGAAGGCGAAATGATGCGAGACGACGTGAAAATCGTGCTTTAATTCGTATGAGAAGAGAAATTAGAGAAAGTTATGATCCATTTTTACTTCCAGAGGCAAGATTCATTGAATTATTTAGACTTAGCAAAGTCTTGGTCCAGAACCTTATTGACTTGGTACGACCTCATGTACAATCACCCACAACTGTAAGGGGCATTTCAGTTCAGCAGAAAATTTTGCTAGCCCTACGTCTTTATGCGACTGGTACATACCAGAGAGGATTAGAAGAAGAATATAGTTTTGGCCTAAGTCAAACCGCAGTTCATTTTTGCCTCCACGAAGTTACAAATGCCCTATCAGAACATTTAGCACAAATTTATATAAGATTTCCGGCTAATGTAGCAGAGAGAAATGCCAATAAGCTTCAGTTTCTGGAAAAATTTGGTTTTCCAGGAACTATTGGTGCTATCGATTGCACGCATATAGCCATTCTTAAGCCCATTCAAGAAGAGGAGCATAACTTTTATAATCGTAAAGGTATGAACATTCATTGTTTTTGATTTACTACTTACCTACTACTTAGGGTGATTTCGGCTTGGCAACTCTTTTGACTACTCCTTTGACCCTTTTCACTACAAAATCGTTCGGGTCACGCCACTGGGAGCAAATAGTGCATGCGCTTCATCGTTCGGGTACAGCCAAGTAGAGTGAAAAAAGTTAACTCCACATTACCTCACGAGGTGAGGCTCGAGGAGCGGGCACGCGCACTTCCTATATTTCCAAAAGGTGGTAAAATTAAGTTTTCAGTAATTCACTATCCTAAAGAGTAAAGATCCTAACCTAAAGAGTTGAAAGGAGATATTTTTTGCTTAGGGCTTGGTTGCTTCCTGGGGCTGGTAGAAAAAATGGCATCGCTCCCCAAAATATCTACAAAAAAAATCAATTAAGGAAAACCGCCTGCGTTATCGTTTGTCTCGCTTCAATTGGGAGGAGCCTAGCAAAAAGGACATTTTTGCACAAATTTTTATCTTTGGCTTATTTAATTTTTTTTAGGTTTCCATTCAATCAACTGCCAGATTATTGCAAATGCTGACATGACGATTTCAAATATATCTGGCAATTATGGTGGGTCAACCCACGATTCATTTATATGGAATAACTCTGAAATTAAAAGATTCTTGGAGAACAATTTGGAACGTGGAGAACTAACATGGCTGATAGGAGATTCTGGTTATCCACAATCAAGAGTTTTGATGACTCCTTTCCGTGACCCACCTGAAGGAACTCCAGAAGCCAGATATAACAGTGCCCACATCAGGGCAAGAAATATTATAGAAAGGACAATTGGTGTTTGGAAAATGCGCTTTCGATCTATTCTGAGGGAGAGAACAGCTAGGTATGCACCCGATTTCGTGTGGAAATTAATAAAAGCCACAGCAGTTTTACACAATATATGTGTTGAAAATAATCTACCACTCCAAGAAGTCATTCAAATTGATGACATACATGAGCATGATATTGGGCCTCTCAACCTCAGAGTGCAAAATGAAGGTATGGCTGCAAGACAAAGAGTGGTTAACAGATATTTTAGAAACTAGCTTTTGTTTATAATATCTATTGACAATCCGATTTCCAAAGGTAAAGGTAAAATGTATCACCTTCCAATGTTATTTAATAGAGAAAGGTGATGAATTTACCTATACTCTTGGACATCGGATGGTGAATAGGATTTAATTACCTACTTATGTCTTTTTTTTGTATAGGTTTAGGTAGGTATATCCTATTCACAATATGTAGTCCAAGGTGAAGGTTAATTTATCACCTTTCCCTATCAAATATCACTGGAAGGTGATAAATTTTACCTTTACCTTTGGACATAGGATTGTGAATAGGTAGGTACTCAAATGTGATTTTGACCTGAATAATATTAATGTGTATTTTCTTGAATTTCTAATTTGTATTTTTCTGCTAATACCTATAAATTGTATTCATTCAATAGTCTATTATTTGCACAAAGACTTCAAGAATGCCTGACATTAATGGCTATTTACACAGCTATAACTAGAGGATGCTTAAGCTTAGTGGAGCTTTGAATGTGACTTTTGTTTCTACAAGAGTCCCACTCAAAGCTCCATTCAGATTAAATATCAAAATATCCTTCGAGTTATAGATAGTTTAGGTTCACTTTAAACTTCAAACAATGGTTAGGCTTAGGTTCAAAGCTATTAGTTTAATCATAGCTTGACGCTGAACTGAACCTATACAATTGAGAGAAGAGTAATAATTTGCCGTTAGTTAACCTATAGTTAATAGGCCTGTTCGCACAGCAATCACAAACCAGTCAGAGCGCATTTCATTGGTTGAAAACAATCAGAAACAGTCAGAAAACTAGTTTCAACCAATGAGATTCACTCTGACTGGTTTGTGATTTCTCTGCGAACAGACCTATTATGTCTAGTTTATCAATTCTAATCTTATATTTTATTTATATCAAAAACGTTCTGGTACTTATTCATTCACTATTATATTAGTAGGTCGGTATTCACTAAAAAATAATACTGAAAAAGTAAATTCTCGAGTAAATTATTGTACTTTTATTTTTATTATAAAAAAACCTAAATGTTAACAATAAATTTAATAATTAATCAAACAATATTTTGGCAAATTATTGTTTGTTAATTAAAAGAAATACATTATTTATAACAAAAACCTTATTAAACAAAATATTAATACAAAGGGCACGTTTTTTTTTTTTCTCATCGAAGTATCCACCAATATAAGACAGCTATTTCGATTTTCCAAGACACAGATACTGCTTATTGGTGGATGCACCAGTGAAAAAAAAAAAAAAAAAAAACGCGCCAACTCTGTTTTATTTCTATCAACTAACATTATTGTTTCAAATTTCACATTTGCTTTGGTTCGATTGTCAAATAAATAACATAACATCATCACATAACATGAACAGCGATAACCTGCAAATAAAAATATGTTAGAATCGAACTCAGGATGGATAATTTTGAATTGTCTGGAAAAATATACTTCACAAGCGAATTGTCAAGAAATTGCCAAAGAAGTAAGACAAAGGCTCAGGTGAAGCTGCAAATCTATCCTTACCTATTCTTTTCCTAAAATGGTTTTTATTTCTTGTAAAGTATCGTTTATCAGTGACAAATTTGTGCCAATAGCAAAAACTCCTTCTTTTATAGATTTTAGCTCGTTTATGCTTTCTGTTAACAAGCCGTCTTCTATTTCTTCCCGATCAAGTTTCTTTTTTTTCCTTGGGGTTTTGTCTGTATGATTATGATCACCTATGTTCGGCACTATTGTAGATTCTCTTTGAGATTGTTTAGAGCAGCCAGATATTTCATTATCGCTCTCATGACTTGTTAATATACTCTGTAGCTTTTTCGTTGGGGTATGGTCTGAATAATAATAATGGTCGGTGTTTGGTACTATTGCGGATTCTCTTTGAGCTAGTTTAGACAGGAACTTAGAGCAGCCAGCTATTTCATTATCTCTGACTTTCAACTCATCATTTGGAATTTCCTTGCAGTCATGACTTGTTAATATCTTTGGCTTTTTTCTTGGAGTATGGTCTGTGTAATAATCTTCTGTGTTTGGTACTATTCCGAATTCTCTTTGAGCTTGTTTAGAGTTACAGCAGCCAGCTATTTCATTATTTTTGATTGTTAACTTAAGTTTTGGAATTTCCATGTTGTCTTGACTTGTTGATGTACTTGGTAGCCCCTTATCACCAGATGCTATTTCCATATGCTAAAAAAATTAATGAATTGATAAAGGGCAAGGTTTTGAAATCATTACTGAAATAATAATATGCGCATTTTCAATGATGTGATGCTGTCCTAGTCATTTGACAGCATCAAAACAAGGATTGGTTACTCATCAAGAGAAGTGTGCATAAGCAAATGGCGAATTGAAAAACTTGGCCAAAATTTAAATGTGCACTTTAAATGGAAATATTGATAAAAAAAAATAGATTCTCTTTCTCGATTCAATTTAACTAGGGCTAAATTAAATTCTGAATGTGCTTCTAGTAACGTCTCACCTGTAATTTTACTATTTTATCCACTTTTGATAGTGAATGGTGCTCTTGTAATTGAAATAAAAATATTGTCAACTAGCTGCTTGGGAAAGGAGGACCCGATATTCAACCTTATTAATTTAATTGCCGATTCGATCGAATATTTATTGCAATAAATTAATATAAATTGCGCTGCAAGCCGCAGCAAAGGCAGACTTAAACCAGTGCAAGTACCTCTCGTTGGAAAAGCCCCTCTGGAATTAAGTCTCCCCAGTGCAAGTACCTCTCGTTGGGAACGCCCCTCTGGGTATCTTCAGCCTTATCGTTGTCCAGTGCAATTACCTCTCGTTGGGAACGCCCCTCTGGACAAGGCATAAGGGTGACGATAAACTTATCTACAGTCCCCCAAGCAGAATTGACGTGTGGCCCCCTATAAGGACCCCAGTGTACGAAGGGTCATGTACCTTATAGGATTAGCATACATGTAAGGTTATATTTGGGAAAATATATAGCATATATTTTTATATAACCTGAGCGAGTTTCTCTCCATCTACCCCCAAAGCTACAAACCCCCCATGTCACCCCCGTAAAACGGGTAGTTGTGACAATATGATAAAAATAAATTATTCGAATAATAATTACCTCAGTAGGTACTTACCCCACACTCTTTGCTTCCAACTCCCTCATAAAATGATTTACCCAAGATCGATAAAATTCTTTGCTCATAATCATTAAGTTTTTTATAATTCCCTGGTCCTCCTCCTGTTTCATCTAAGCTAAGTTTATTCATAGCAGCCTTTCTTTTTATCCCATACTTTATGTCTGACCATGTCTAAAAACATAATTGGTGCTTGGTGCCTTGAAATTTTTATTCAAGAATTTTACATATTTTTAATATACCTCCACCCATATAAAGCTAGAGGCTTCAATAATTAAAGTCCATGATTTAGGTGCTATGGCTTGTCCAAGTGCCATCTCTCGAACCAGACGCTCTCGAGATGGAAACTTTGCCCTCAGCCTCAGTAATTAGCTCCATTATAATTTTCTTGGTATACATACATAGCTTTTATGCCATCTCTACATTTTGTTGAAACCTTGAATAGGGTCGTACTTACCTTTTGCCATTTTTCTACTGATTTACTTCCAGAATCCAATGAATTGAGTTCGGAACTGAGCTGCTCCCAGAGTTTCCTCTGAATCACTTTGCCGTTGGGCCCCGCAAATTGTCCTCTAGCAAATAGAGGATTACGATCCATAAAACCTAATAATACCTGCCAATGGCCATCATTAATTTTAAAAGCCATTTTTGGAGCGATTTTTCTGTTCAGTGTTGAAAGTTTAAAATAAAATACAACAAAACGTCCAAACAAATCAAACAAACTTTGGCATCCAAAAATCCAACATAACCCAACTTAATTGGACTCGATTTCGTTTCGATAGCATTTCGACAGACATCAACCAGTCGAGTGACATTCGTCGAAATGCATTCGCATGGAGTACGTTCGAAATCAAAATTTCGGTGTAACATGGCGGTTTCGGTTCGAATCGAGAGTTCGTAATCCGCCCCCTGCTTGGGTTTTCTGCGCGTTGAACTGTACAAGGTTTTTGTTACCCCAGTCCTCTATTATCTCCAGGTCGTTATTTATCTGCGATATTTGAGTTAGTCTAAGATGATGGAATTCACGTGCGGAAAGACCTGTGGGTGGTATGAGTGAGGAGACTACATTGCCATCGTGTGCAAAGCAATAAAGTGGATTTACTGTTTTATCTATGAGGTCATTTATGTAAATCAGAAAAAGATTTGGCGAAAGGATTGCTCCCTGTGGCACACCAGCATTTATTTGGTAAAAGTTGGAGTTCTGGCCATCCAGTGCAACATAAATGGATCTGTCCTTTAGGTAACTTTCAAACCAAGTGCAAAGTTTCGGCGATAATCCCATTGCTTTGAGCTTGTTGAGCAGATTTTCATGCCAAACTTTGTCGAATGCTTTAGATATATCTAAGGCAATTGTTCTTGTTTCACCCCGCAACTCAATCGCTTTTTGCCATAAGTGAGTGACGTATGTAAGTAAATCGCCAGTTGACCTATATTTTCGAAATCCGTATTGCTTATCGTTGATAATTTTGTACTTTTCCAAGTACTTGGTTAGGTGATTGTTCACAACTCTTTCCATTACTTTTGATATCACCGGAAGTAGAGCAATTGGTCTATAGTTTAACGGATCTGTCTTTTTTCCTTTCTTTGGAATGGGTTGTACTGCGGCAGACTTCCATGATGATGGATATACTCCTTGCCTGTAAGACAAATTGAATAATTTTGCGAAAGTTGGGGTGAGTTCGTTGGCGCAATTTTTGAATACTATTGCGGGAATGCCATCCGGACCCATTACTTTGTTTGTATCCAGCTTTTTTAGGGATTTTCGTATTTCTCTGTGACAAAAGGGTACCTCTGGCATACTATGGGAAACCCTTCCAATGAACAATGGAGCTTTTCCGTTTGGCACTGTTAGGTTGGAGTTGGAGGAAAACATTTGGGCAAGCATATTGGCTTTTTCCTCTGATGTTGTGGCTAAGTGATTATTTTTATCTGTAAGTGGTGGTATGGATGACTTGGTGAAGTTAGATCCAACATCTTTTGCAAGAGACCAAAAAGACCTAGAACTACTTGGACAATTCAGCAACCTGTTTTTTATTCTTTGATTGTATGTTTCTTTAGCGGAGTCAATAGTAATTTTGCAACTATTTCTGGCTTCTATAAATTCTGTGTGGTTTTGAGCGGTTTGTTGTCGTTTCCAAAGGTTATATGCTCTGTGTTTTTTCTGTACAGCCGTTTGTCACCCTTTCGGAGGAATATGGTTCCGTCTTTCACCCATAAATACTTGAAATCATTTTCTTTTTCGAATGTGAAGCTAGCTTTGTACAGATCTAAGTTGGTCTTCGTAAGGTCTTGATTAATAAAGATCTTAGTGGTTGCTGATGCATACCCTAACATTTGTGCATTTAGGCTTTTTTTTCGGGGTGACTTTAGCAACTTCCATTTGTTTTCTTGCGATTCAAATTTGACTTTAATCGGACACGCTTTGCTTTTCTCTCTCCTACCGATTCTTGAAGCCGAAAATGCTTGCCTTGTTAAGTCCACTTGGAGTTCTTTCCCGACCTTTTCTACTATCTGCTGCATGTTTTCATTTTCTCGATAAGGTATTCCCAGAATCACCACATTGTTCTTGAGTTCTCTTTGTTCTGTTTTGTTAAGCTGTTTTTTTACTTCGAAAATCTCGTTTTTAAGTTGTTTGTTTACCTCTAACTGTAGTTCATACTTCTCCAATAAATCGTTGTACCTTTGCTCCATTTTATCAAGTTTCTCCATGATGTCGTTGTTGGTTACTTGCCTTGGTGGTTTTACTTCGGTCTTTTTAAGACACGGATTGCAAAGCCACTTGTCAGTCATTTTACTAACTTTCTGATACGTTTTGGACGACATGGATAAACAAGTGCGATGTTTCCACACGTAACACTTCTCGCACAAGAGCCCTTCTTCATTATCCATAACCACTTTGTGGCAAATATCACACTCACTGGTTTCCGTATACCCGGGCATCTTGACAACACTGTAGGCCGATCTCAGAGATTCCGTAAACACACAACACGTTTTCGGCCTCAAAATCGAAAAGGAATCTAGCGATTTTTAGCCTAATGTCTTCCAGAATCCTTCAATTGGCGACACGTCACTTGCACAACTTTTAAAGTTACTTTTAACACTCAAAAAACACTTGTGAATTCGCAGAACGCCCACAGCACAACTACACTGTTGCCGTTCCAAATACTTTTTTTTATGATTAATTAATTAATTCATAATAAATTTAATAGCGTTCAGATTTTATATCAAAATTTTTAACTAAGAATAGAGTTCAATTGAATTATCGGAAAATATTAGATTAATTATATAACTGCCGATTACCGATGTACCGAGGAACCGAAATAGTAATTTTAATCCCAAAGTCAATCAATTTTTTTGACAAATTTATTGAATGACTTCTGGTTTTTTTCAAATCAGCGAACGTTTTTGGCGTCATTAATTTGTTTCAGTCAATTTTTAATTGTTAAAAAAGGAAGACGTAAGAAGAAGTACAAACCCTCGTGGAACACTCAGTACCTATCTGAAGAAGCCTAGAGTGACATAGATTCTCCAACTCATTCCAACTGGTGTAAAGTTGGCAGACAAAAGCTATCAAGAAATTTGCCAGAAATACCCGAACGTCCAGGGGCCCCTTATATTATTTTTTCAAAAAACTGCTTATACTGACGGATTCAAATTTATACTACGTAGTAGTCAAAATAGGTGGTTGGGGTAGAAAAAATTAGTAACAAAGTTATGTCTGCGGAAATGAGTAGTCAATAGGGTCCTAATTAATTTCTCAAAAATCGCACTTTGTCGCATTGGTGGAACTTGGAAAAAAATGACCGCAATCTTGATTTTTTTTGGAATTTATTGAATATTTCGTAAAGTCTGCATTATATCAAAAAAACTCAAGAGAACTTTTTTGTGGAGGATCAAAAGTTACTTATATTGAAAGAAATTTCAAGACTATTAGCTGGTAAAGAGAAAAGTTATTGACATTTATTTCATTTGGCAACATGGAATTTTTCAAAACATCTGAAAAAAACTCAAATAAGTTTTTTTTTTTTTGTGCAGAATAAAAAACTACATTTATTGGGAGAAAAATTAAATAAATTTAATAATCTAAATATTTTTGGTGAGGAGCAAAAACACATATGAAAAGAAAAACATTTGGACAGGAAACTACCCAGACTCAGACAGCACAAAAAGTCTTAAAGACGTCTTTTTTAGGTCTGCAACGTCTAAAAACTTCCATAATAAGATGTCCTAAATTCACATTTTGAGGATAACTGAGCCACACTATCTCGTACAACCAGGCCTAAAAATGAATAGTGGTTTATATATTCAAAAGAGATTCAAAGACTTCTTTTGGAAATTTTGTTGAAAACGTCTTTAGAATGCCTTAGTTCTAAAGGCGTCTTTATAGGCAGACATCTGAAAAGTGTTGGGTTTTGTAACATACGACGTCTTCAAGATGTCTTTAAGACGCTTCAAAGGTGTAAGCAAGACATCTTGAATTTCGTTTGGTGGACATCGTAAGAACGTATTAAAGATGTCTACGAAAATTTCCCACAGAAATCGTTTTTCAATCAATTTTAGAAGTTACTTGAAACCATTTATAATGCTACAGAACACTTTAGAACTTTAATAATAAGCCTTTTCGAAAGTTCAAAACTCTTAAAATTCAATTCATAATTTCCCAAAGCATTCTGTAGCGCTTCAAAACATTTTGGAAACTTCAGAACCATTATTAGAATGGAGCAATTTGGAACAATTTAGAAACTTTAGAGATATTTTAGAACAATTATGATTCAATTTAGAACTGGAAATCTTTTAGAATGCTTTTAAACCAATTCAACTTCAATTTGGAACTTCAATAGGGCTCTAAAATACTTAAAAATCTGTCAGATTATTTTGAAATTTAACATGGATACTTCAAAGGAGCTGACTTCCCAATTTAGAAATTACTGAAAAACTTCTAGAATGCTCCAGAACTCTTCAAGCCAAGTTAGAACACTTTAGACAAACCTCAGAATTATTTCAGAGAGCCTAACGCCTGGGATAGATAAAAATTGAAAGTTATAAAATAAGTAACAAATAATAGTAAAATATTATCAAGAAAATGTTCCTCTTTCAATTGAAATTCTAGAATTTTTATATGTTTTTCTATTCCAGGCTCTTGATTGTTCCTTACTTCTTTATTTTAAATTCTCAATTTTCTTTTGGCTGTTGAAATTTTTTTTTCCAAGTTCTTGAATTCTCATTATTCCCGTATTTTAGAATTTCAGGCTCTTGATTTGTTTTTTAATTTTCAGAATTTTTCTTATATTTTTGTTTAAAGAAATCAAGACTTCAAGACCCTAGCTTTTGGAATAGACAAAAATTGAAAGTTATAAAATGAGTAATAATAATAAAATATTAGTCCTGAAGACGTCTTTAGGCAGACGTCTGAAAGACGTTGCGTTTTGTAACATACGACGTAAGCAGACGTCTAAAAGACGTCTTGAATGTCGTTTGTGGACATCTTAGGGACGTCTGTGTACTGTCTGGATAAACACTAAGTAATTATTTTATGAAAAAATCACTAAACCTTTCCAGTAGTGGACGAGAAAGACTGTAAACTTGAGACCATGCTTTAAACATTTGACACCAAACTTTTCGATAATTACTGATGTTTTTTTTTAT